GGTTCGGGGTTTAGGGTTCAGGGTTTAGGGTTTAGGGTTTAGGGTTCGGGGTTTAGGGTTCAGGGTTGAGGGTTCAGGGTTCGGGGTTTAGGGTTCAGGGTTTAGGGTTCAGGGTTTAGGGTTATCGAGATCATTGCTATTACTGTCCCCTCAATAGCTCCCTTATACTTCATCCCGGTTTAGTTAGGGTCCCCGGTCCTCCGGCCCGAAGCCCGCCTAAAACTTCCGAAGCTCACGCCGACGACTCCAAACCCGCAACTGCCTCAAACCGCGAACCCCTCAGAGTTGTTTGGGGTTCAGGACTTTGGGTTTAGGGCTTAGGGTTCAGGACTTTGGGTTGAGGGTTTAGGGTTCAGGACTTTGGGTTTAGGGCTTAGGGTCTTAAAGCTATGTGTTTGGGGTTTGGCTTTGGAAGTCGGAGCAAGGGTTTCGTCTTGGGCTTAGGGTGTCGGGCTTCATGGCGGGCCAAGTGGCGATCGTAGGATCTGCTTCCAGTCGAGGTAGTAGCCTCGACCCCGAAACCCTGAACCCTAAACCCCAAACCCCGACCCCCTAAACCCTAAAGCCTAAACCCTGACCCCCTAAACCCAAACCCTAAACCCTAAACCCCGACCCCCCAAACCCTAAACCCCACACCCTAAACCCTAAATCCCAAACCCTAAACCCTAAACCCCGACCCCCTAAACCCTACACCTAAACCCTGAAACCCCAAACCCTGAACCCTAAACCCTAAACCCTAAACCCTGAAACCCCCAACCCTGAACCCTAAACCCTAAACCCTAAACCCTAAACCCTGAACCCTAAACCCTGAAACCCCCAACCCTGAACCCTAAACCACATGGGGGTTTCCGAAAATAGGGGACCCTAATATAGTACCCCAAATAATAGGATCCTTATTATAAGGACCCCAAAATAAGGTACCCCTAATTTTCGGAAACCCCCAGGTGGAGCCAGGGCCCAAAGGTCTGGAGGTCGGAGCTCAAGGCTTAGTTGAGAGCTCTGCCTTTAGGGTTTCGGGTCGTGGACTTCGGACTTCGGGCTTAGGGTTTAGGGGTTTAGGGGTTTAGGGTTTGGGGTTTAGGGTTTAGGGGTGTAGGGTTTAGGGTTTAAAGTTGGGGGCTTCAGGCATTGGTAGTCTTGGGGTCTTCCAGGTGTAAGCCTACTGCCCTTGCGACGCCACCGGTGTAGGCTATGCATAGTATACTAGACTAGACTAGACCAGACTAGACCAGACTAGACTAGACTAAACCAGACCAGACCAGACTAGGACTAGACTAGACTAGATTCAACTAGAATATACTGGATTTGACTCGCTTAGACTAAACTAGACTAGACTCTTAGACTAGACTGGACTGGACTAGACTAGATTAGACTAACGTAGTACAGTATAGTACGATATAGCAACTGACTAACTTAATCCAAGCGCTCCTCTGGACCGGATTTTATGGGGGGTGTTGAGTGTGCTTGGAGCTCTGTTCTCTCCGATTTGCGCCACCAAACGGGACAGCGCCACCGTGGTGAAGTGGTAGTAATTACCTGGGAGGCTAAGGGTTTAGGGTTTAGGCTTTAGGCATTAGGGTTTCAAGCTTAAGGTTTAAAAGACTAGGGCTAAGGGAGGGTCGAGGGTTTAGAGGGCTGGGGCGGGCTGAGAGTCTACAGCCTTACTGCTAGCGGTGCTCACGTTCTAGAGATTCTGCATGTAGGGCTCGCGGCTGGAGTTGCCAACTGCTTGGATCTCCACAACGATTAGGGTTTAGGGTTTAGGGACTAGAGTTTAGGGTTCAGGGCTTCGGGCTTAGGGTATCGGATGTAGGATGCAGGGTTTGGCCCCCATACTAAAAACCCCTAAACCCTGAACTCCTCGACCCTAAGTAGATCATACACCCCATACCTCACCCAGCGCCGGAACCCCTGAAGACAGGCCGCAAGTTTTGAATCCTACACACGCCAAGCCCTACACCCCGAACCGCGGCAAAACCACGACGTTCGGCTCTGAAACTAGCCGAAGGCAGCACTGCAGAGACCCGACGGTAGTTAACCGAAGACTTGCGGCCAAAATACAAAAGGCCTTCCGCATGTGAAGGGGTGCGACGCGATGGTAGTGAACCAGCGGCACCTTCAGGGTTTGCTGTAGGACTTAGAGCTTGGGGTTTAACGGTTACAGGTTTGGGGCTCAGGGTTTACGGTTCCGGATTCAGGGTGCTGCTTTAGGCGTTGAAGCCGAATGGCACGCCGCGAAACAAAACATGCAAGTTAGAAGAAACCCATCACATGATGACGGGTTTAGGGTTTAGGGTTTAGGGTTTAGGACCAACCCCCCATTCCCATTGCCGCCTGCTTTGAGTTGTTTGCACACGTTGGTGCCGGAGGGCACTGCTCCAGACTGTGCGCATGGTAGAAGAAGTTTCCTGACTTTACACAGTGGGGGATCTTGAGCCCGAAACCGTAGGGTTTAAGGTTTAGGGTTTAGGGTTTAGGGTTTAGGGGCCCGGGAATTCTTGGGTCTGGAGAAACCTACCTCCAGCAAGATGTTTATAGGGCCTGAAGAAAGCCGAGGTTCTGGGGGGATATCTTATCTACTGCAAGCAAGGAGTTAGAAAGGAAGGACACCCTAAACCCCAAACCCTAAACCCTCAACCCTAAACCGAAAAACCCTAAACCCTAAACCCTAAACCCTAAACCCTAAACCTAAAAGCCCTAAACGCAAGTTGCCCATAGGCCCAAGGGAGTGCAGAAGGTGAAAGCCGACATCCTGAACTCAAAGAAAAGCGAGAACCCATACTTTAGGGCTCGAAAGGGCTCTAGAGCTCTAGGGTTTAACCCTAAACCCTAAACCCTAAGCCCTAAACCCTTAAGCTTCAGGGTTTAGGTATCAGGACCTCCACAGCCATCTTCTACCTTCAACCGAACCGCAAACCCCTGAACTCCCAAAACCCTGAGCTCTAAATTAAGCCCTTAAACCACTGAACCCTTACCTTTAGGGTTTAGGGTTTAG